CCTCCCCTCCCCTCCCCTCCCCTCGACTCCCTTCACGGCACCCTTGTGTTGCATCGCAAGAGATCTTTGTAGCGCATTGACAGCCGGCTGAAGAGTTTGATGGACTGTGGTTTACTGCTGGGGCAGTTTCGTCCTGGGCTAAGGTACAACGGCTACCATCGGGATCCTCTTCTGAACTCCGCAAATCTGCATGTTTGTTCTTGCCGCGGAGCGTGGGAAACCCTTTACATGCGCTGGAGACTGGAGCCTCTGACTGAGGTCCCGCTGGTCCGAAGCTTGAAGCTTCCCATGGCGACGCCGGCGACAGTCGAGTAGAGCGCTGCCTTGACTTCACTCCATGCTGAACCGAATCTCCGCCTCGCCGGTCGAAGCAGAAAGAGCTTCTGGAGAAGCTGGAGGGTGTGTTCTTAGCACACACACACACACACGCACACACGCGGTGCTTGCGGTACGGTCCTTGCTGCTGCTTGCCAGCTAAAACGAGAACTCTGAGAGCAATGTGAGCTGCAATATCTGCGGATTGAGTTTCCGCCGAAGAACGGTCCCCGTCTCACACCTGGAGTTGCGCTGCCAGAGCAACATCTGCGACAGATGCTTTGAGCCAGCGGTTTGGAGATTTGCTTAGATGCATGCCCGCTTTCGTCAAGTATGACCAAAAAAATTACGCTTTCGACAAACGCGGCTACTGTTCCTACGGCGACGCATCAGGGTCGTCGAGTGGATTATATCCAGGCAACTTGAACACGCTGAGCTACAGCGGTGCCTGGCACCCCCAGCAGGTGGAAGTGATTGTGTAAGTGTCATAGCACAAGGTTTATGCTGCGCCGATGACCTCCAGCTTCGCAGTGGCAACGCCGCCGGTGCCGCCGATGTCTTACCAGCCTTACCAGGCCCGATTCGACGAAATTTCTTCGATTCAGATCTGGCATGGATTGTTTTGGAGTTTGTCTGCAGGCTATCCAAGATGTGCGCGGCCTATTATTTCCAATTCCGGATCAATATTTGCAAGATCGACATTATTGCCTGACGTTAACACCGTCATACCCCGTCGAAGTGGATTGCCGCATTCGGCACCCCTTCGCGAAGTTCATGGAAGCTAGAAGCTGGCAGCAACATGACCCCCTCAATTATAACCCCCCCTCAATAATCATTTCCCCCTGCCTGGGCCTGGAGTCAATCAAGGGGGGTTTTTATCAGCAAGTCAACATTAGACTCTAGACGTCTACAAATCTCCGTGGCCCGCTGGACAGCACGACTCAACTCCTGGATGAGCAGGTGTCTCCGATGCCAGCCGCCACGGTTACCGCAGCAACAGCTGCACAAGCACCGCTTGTCACGAAGGCTTTGAACATACGCATGCCTGGCTGTCGTCTGTGCAGCATTGACAGATGTCCGGACCTAGAAAGCACTTAGCCATGCCGAGCTCACAAAGTGGAGCTTGTAGAATCTCGAAAGCGGGCTTCCAAGCTGCCAAGCGCTTCGCAGGTGCCAGAACCTCCGATGGCACCTCAGGAGCCACTGGCCGCCTGGCTGCCTTGGCCTGCAGGAATTTTGGCGGGACCCGATGTTTCGGGCTCTGCTGAAGTTTCTCGGGGCCGTCACTGGGGTAGATTTGTGGTCTCTCAGTTTCCTGTACCAGTGCTGTTTGTGATGCGAGTCTCGGACATGATTTGAAGTGACTTCACAACGACTTCAACCGACTGGGTTAGCCAGACCTCAGGTCATGAGCTCCGCAGTGCAGCACATGCCGACCTATCCTGCCGAAGCCTTGGCCTTTCCCTCGCTCTCACTCCCTCCACTCCTCTCACTCTGCCTGGCTGGGAGGCCGAGGCAGCTGCAAAGCTCGAGCAGAGTTTCGGCTAGTAATTTTGGCTTACCCCCTCATTGCAGACAGCGCACGAAAAAGCTCAATTCGCATCTTTTCTTAACAGAAGTGTTGCTGAGCCACAGGCTCCGACTGGGGGAAGTTCTACCCAATGCGGTCGAACGCAAGATAAGGCAAGCTTTCGTCGTGCTGAGGACTTGCTGAACCCAGCGCAGGGCTATGCACCTGTGACCGGAGCAGCGGGGGGCGGCTTGCAGGCACTGTCATTCGGGGGGTTTTGTTTTGACAGCCGCATCTGTGGATGGGACCAAGCCATTTTGCATCATGTCGCATTGTTCGTAAAACAAAGGTCGCATCTTGTAGGTGCTTGGGGTGCGCTGCCGTGCTCTGCAGGTGAAAGGAAACACGACATGGGCCCACAGCTCGCGAGTCGGACCTGTCTGATGAGCAGGCAGCTTCAACCTGCGCCAATTGTGGCAGCACTTTCTTGCCCGACGCGCTGTTCTGTCGCAAGTGCGGTACAAGGAGGGGCCAGGCGGCACGGCGTCTAGATTCCATGTACATACGCTTTCAAGCGTAGCAAGGCTGAGAGGTGGTTTGCTTTGCTCAGTGGGGGGTCAGTTGAACAGGTTCTGAGGTTTACTTTAACCGCTCCTGAACACCAAGGCTTCTGAGGCTTGGAACTGTATGTCTCCACTGCCCTAGCAAACTCTAGCAGACTCTGGCAGGAATTACGGGAGTCTGAAATAGGGGTATCGTGATGGAAGAGAGCAAACGAGCGCTGCGCTCACTGCTGGTGTTGAGTGCATGTCAAACATCGCCAGGCGTAAGCACCCTGCGCATCCTTGCGCTGGTATTGACAGCGGTGGACGGTGACGGCGACTGTGAAGGTTGCCGTGTGAACTCAGTACCACGCGCTAGTATCTATTGTCCACTGTGAAGAGATTGCACATTGCTACGTGTCTGGCCGAGGGATTTGTTGTCGTTAACGATTGCAGAACGAGCTCTGTTCTTAATTTGGCAGCCGAGTGGCTTGGGCATGAGGGTCGTGCAGCAAACCTAGCTGCGGACCGCAGACAGAGGGCAGCGCATGTTGCCAAGCACAATCATTGGACCTTGTTCACTGTAGTCGAAGAATCTGGAGGATGCTGTAAGCAAGTTTGAACTCGACAGGCACATTTCGTCCGCAAACTTGCTGTGAGATCCTGTCTCGCCTAGCGCGTCCTGTCAGATTTCCGCCTGCTGACCCGACACTTCGGAGAAAAGGGTTCAGTTTTGGTAGGCAGACGTTTGCCTATGGGTTCTCACAAAACAACCACATACCTCGTCTTCAGGCGATCGCACGTGTACTGGATCGGGAGTGATACCGCAGCCATAATTGCAGTGCAACACAGTTGCCATAGTGTTGCCAGACTGTTGTAGATTCAACACACACACACACACCAAGACAGCAGGCATCTGCATTTTCTTGAGTACAAGAGCCTCTTGAATTTTCACTAGCAGTTTTGCTTTGCGAGGCTGTACTCCTCGACACAGCCCGAAGTCTACGAACCTAAATACTTCGAAACCAATTCCCGTCAGTTGCTCTTGTGGCCATGCGTGCTTCAGCATACGGGCTGAGCACCGTGTCATGTTAGCCTTGGTGTTTGGATACTTTCTCAGGGGCCTTTTGGGCTTAGGAGTTTCCGCAAATCGAGTCCAACTGATTAAGTGGTTGTGTTGGCGGCGCGGGACCAATAATTCATTCAGCTGCTGTCGAAAGAGCACAAGCGAAAATCTTGCCGGCGATCTGCAACTGCTCGGGCCTGCATTTCTTCCTGCGAAAGTTCGATCAGTCTTGAACTGCATATAGCACTGCTCTAGCTCAATGCCATGCTGATTACGGGCACTAAGTCCAGGGTTCTTCCTCTGGCGGCGCAAAGTAAGCGAGTGACCACAGGCGCTGGTTGAGGCCCAGATCGTCCCGCAGGCACGCTGTGGCGGCCCAGCGAAAGCCTGAAATCGAAGCGCAAGAGTCGCTCTTGCTTGCCTTGGCCAAGAGAAATTTCCTGGCTCTCTGACGTACAGGACCAGCAGCCCGCTTTGGAAGCTGCACTCAAGCCAGGAGGGCCACAGCCCCAGGACCATCTCTCGTCACTGATGTCCAGTCTCTGAGATTGGGGGCCCCTGTTTGAGCATGTTTGGTCATTGCATGGCTGTGCGATATTGAAGCCATCTTACAAACACCAAGCGGCTGGTACTGATGTGTCACATGCAGGCTTGCAGACCTGCTGGTGGGCGGCATGAAGCTTTTCACGCTGGCTCAGGAGAATGCGTGGGCTCGAGAGCCCAGATACATGTATGAGAAAAATGGGTCCGTAATATCCTGTTATGGCATGTCGGATATGCGCTTTCAAGGTGCACCAGGATGGCAGAGTCTTTTTGTGCCCTGCAGCGATCTGCAAACCTGACTGGATGATGCCACTGAATTCCACTAGCCAAACCTGCTGCCATCGCATGGCATGACCACCGTGGTACCGTCTTGGCAAGTGGTGAGCATGTAGCATGAGCATGTTTTCCCGGAGCAGCTGAGTTTTTGAATCACTCACCCGCACAGTGCATCAAGAACGCATGCTGACATGAGGCTTTGGTGGCGGTTCCCTGCGGTGAGTTTTTCTTGGCCCTCACACTAGGTCCGCAGTAAGCTTTGCAGGGGTTGCAGCTGTGCTTCCGGGATGATTAGTTCGGCTCTGGGAAACTGCAGGCGTACTCTCATGCCCCTCTGGACTGAATGTGAGGAGCTGAGACCATGCACAACCCAGGATGGACTGCTACTTGTAGGACATGCAGTGCTGCAGCATGCTGTAGCGCTGTGTCCCCGAAAGCCGCCGCAGGATCATGATGATGATGCATGAAAGCACGTCAGTGCACTGAACTTTTCAATTCCTGAACCCGAGACCTGGCTCCGCGCGGACGCCGTGTATTCCATGCTCACCCTGGCCGGCGCAACAGTCCTAGAGCTTGCGACTCCGATCCCCGGCAGACTTCTGAATACGCCTCTGCTTCTCTTCGTCACTTCACGACTTCACGATGCACTCTGTGTGAACCATTGTGAACCGCAAAGCTTTGGGAACAAGGGGAACTCCGGTCATGCTGTGCAGCACTGAGGCATGGTTTGCAAACCTACACCTGGAGCAAGTCCTGGTACGAGTCAAGGAAGGCATTTTTAGGGATCCCTATCAGAGATTCGCTGATTCGCTCGCTGTCTCAGTGATCTTCAATCGGCAAGCTGCGAAGTCGACTTCAGTGCACATCAGCTCGATTTGCGCTGCATTCATGTCTGTACTTATAGTTGTTGATGCTTGCCCTGCTGCCTTCCCTCCCTCCCTCCGATCTCCTCCCTCTCCGTACTTCGGCATCAGGATCACATGACAGATGGCATCATCTCATCTCTTTAGGCTTAAAGCCATACCGATGATCCGTCGTTTAAAATTCGGGTTGATTTAGCCTGCAGGGCACACCATGTCCCTGAGATAACATTGTTGGAGGTGTTATTCTGCTTCTGTGGCATACTGTATTGAACTTATTTGCACTTGCATGCGATTGATATGACAGATCTAGGCCAACATGCTAATTAAGTGAGAAAGTGGATGCTGTCTGGAATTGGTGCTGCAGCAGTGTGTACCTGACTGCAGCTCCCCCCACACCTGCTTCAAGCAGACCCTATGGGGGCCGTCCGACGCTGGCAGCAGGCGGAGGTCGCTGTCCAGATGCTTGCATGTTTTGGATAGCAAGATCAAACGATGTTGAACGGAAGCCCAACACCTTAAGCTGGGGTGGGGAGGGGTGACGGGTGATAGTGTGTATGAGAGAGTAGAATTTGGAGCTAGGAACAAGACGCAACCAGCAGAAACATTAATTAGTAGCTTTGCAGCTTGATGGCTTCCAGCTGTCGAACTTCATGGCTTCTTGGCTTGGTGGATTCTGACTTCTTATTGTTGGCTTGTCTTATCCCAAGCCAATGCAGGCCTCAAAACAATCCCAGAACCTCCAGAAGGCTGCTACACGGCCTGATCGGCGAGCCACATATCCGCAGAGAACAGGAATATAACTAGATGGAATTGCGTTATGGCATCAGTGGCATGACCCTAATAACAACCATGATATAACAGCATGTCAAGTCCCAGACACCCAAGAACCTATCTCGCCCATTCAGCATGGTCCAAGTACGCATGCAGAGTGTTCGTGAACTTGCATGTGCATGCATGCGTCGTTCTTTCTCGCGTACACTGTACACTCGCATCTTTGCCTGTGTTATCTTGTACGCATCTATGACTGTGCGACTGTCTGCGTGTGCACGTATGTATGCATGCATGCAGTTGTGTACCCGTTTGTGTAGAATGTGAGGGTCATGCGTGCGTGCGTACCCTTGGTCTTCTTTGAAAACTTCAAAAGTTCTTGATTAATTCCTTGGCAAGATCATCACATCCCGAATCAAACGATTCGTAATGCGTGGATCATCGGGTGAGGGGTATCCATAACTTTGCAAAGGTATGCGTACACAAAGGCAAATTTATGTGTGCGTAATGAGAGTGAGAGAGAGACAGAGAGAGAGAGAGAGAGAGCCCTGCCGAAGAAGAGAGAGAGAGAGAGAGAGAGCATGCCCATTTTGGTTCAAGTCGTCTGCCGGGTCTCTCCCTTGCCGGGGGGGCCCGCTCAGCAACGGCCTCTTGGGCTCGGGGGGCCTCCCTCCGGGCCTGGAGGTGGACGTTTGCTTGAGCGGGGGCGGCTTGAGACCATCCGTTGAAGCCATCTGGCTGCAGTGGCCCCACCTTAGCAGGCCCCTTGTGCAGCCATCGAGCTCACCGTAAAGAACGCAGCACTTTGCGACTTCACCTTGGACGCCGTCACCGGCGAGATCGGTGACTTCGTAGCACGACCAATTCCCCACCAACAGCAACGCCAAACTCGACGGGGACCACAAGAGCAGCCACCCCCCTTGTGGACATGGTGATCGAGAAGCACGACCGCGACCAAGACACAACATCGGGGCTAACTATGGACTCCATCGCCTACGCAATCCGCAGCGAACTCCGGCAGGGGATGGAGCAACAACAACGCCGCCTCAGCGAAAAGACCCGAGGCACGCTGGAGGAGGGTCTTGCACCGATCTGCGTGCGCATCGAGGACGTCGAGAACAAAGTCACCGAAGGGATCAAGACCACCCTCGACGACATCCAGGAGTTGACTGAAGGACAGGAGAAGCTGGAGAAGTTTT